AAACCGTAGGCAGAGAGAGAGAAGAGGACAACAAACGAGGGGCTGTGACAAACTGTTTCGTCGGAGTTTCACCGACTCATCAGGAGGCTGAACCCTAACAGTCTGCAGAATCCCCTCACTGATTACACTGTAAATGATAATCTACCTTAACCAAAATCAAAGTAGACTATCACTCACCCACACCAGATGGAATATATATATGACTGCTGTGGAGTAGAGAGGCAAGCAACAAAGAGCTGGTACAACTTCTCTAATCTAATTAAATCAGATTAGAATAGAATGGCGGTCTACCGTATATTTGAACACAGAACAGCTCCCTAGGTTGGAATCGAACCAACGACCCAATAGATAGTGTATATATATCTATATCTATATCTATATATGTTGACTGAAATTGCCGTGTAAAACTCACGCGATGAGCACGGGGTCATTTAGTGATTTGTTTTTTTTTTTTGGCCTTTTTTGAGCTCGTAACCCTGCCGCGTCCCCCGTTGTTTCTGTTCCTTTTCTTTTTTTCCTTGTTTGTTCCTTTTGCCCCCCAAGAGAGTAGCCCCTAACATTATTGTATTCCTCTGACTACACAGCATTCCAGCTCACGCTCTGTTGTCAACGCCTCCAAGTACGTGCACCATTCAGCCAGCCACCGCCACATTGTCTGGGTGTATCAACATGCATTTAATTCTCACCCAATTTGAAGGTCGAGAACCGTGCGGATGGAAGCTTGGGCCGATTTTCTGATCACTCACTTTCCGGGGTGGGGAATTAGATGAAATGTGCTTAACGGCATTAACGTGATGTCCTTACCTCATTTGTTTAATATCTTATGTAGCCGCTAAATTAAATTTATAGGGGACGAGGACCCTACCATATTGGTGTGACTGGCGATTACCCGATTATGGGCAATTTATAGGGGACGAGGCGTCGAGGACTCTACCATATTAGGAATCAGGTTACTAGGAAGGAAGGCCAGTTTTTTTTCGTTTTTTTTTTGAAGGCCAGTTTTCGTATAGAGACGGTTATAGAAGACCAAAATTGGAAATGGTTTATGGCATCTGTGATGGAGAGAAGAATGAGAATGATTGTCATTTGACAGGGCGAGCTGGCAGTGAGCAAAGGAGATTGACAGTAGCTGCAGCATATATTTGAGGAGAATCGGATTCTGATAGAGCAGGTTGTTATCAATCTATCAAACAACTTTTTTAGTATAATTTTATTAATTACAAAATATGTTTAAATTTCAATATTGTCTGACTTTTCAGAAGGCAGGTTTGAATTCACCTGCGTGATTGGCTGTGAATGGTTGGCAATGATTTTTTTTTTTTAATTAGCAATTTCTTGCGGGTGTTAGAGGTGTAGTTGTAGTGGGGAGTCTACCGGTAATAATTGGATGAGTGTGTACTTTATGAGCTGCTGTTGTTCAGGCTGCCGCTGTTTGGGTGCTGCTACAGTTGTCCAGGCTGCTTTTTTTTTTTAATGCTGCAGGATTAATGGCAGATAAAGGTTTCTTGTCTAGGCTACCAGCTCGGGTCACCTTGTTTTCCCGGGCTGCCCGACCGTGCAAGGACCAGGGAAGGTCCCAGGAAAAAAAAAAAAAAAGATTAAACTCCAAAAAAATCAGACAAAAAACTATGTCATGCAGGACAACTTTTTTCTTTTTCTTTTTCTTTTTTAAAGCAGGCAACATCTCCGGTATGATCCGGACAGCTTTTTCTTTTTTTTTTTTTTCTTTTTTTTTTTGACGATCAATTCGTGACTCATCTATTCATGGGGAGCAGCATGTGCTGAAAAACGGGTTCAGCGTCCCGTATTCATAAAGATCAGAGTACAAACACATACTGCATCCCAGACCTCTTTTCCAACAAGTGCCAGCAGAAAACAAAGTACAAAGTTAACACAGTGTGTATCCCAGACCTCTTCTCCAACAAGGGGAAGCAGAAAACAAAGTACAAAGTTAACACATACTGCATCCCAGACCTATTCTCCAACAAGGGGCAGAAGAAAACCATAACGGGTAAACCTCAACGCTATGCATCCAACTGCCCACTCTCAGCAAGATCCTCCATCTGTTAGGTCCATGAACCATCTAGTCTGTCCCAGCCAACTATTTACTGCCTCACAAGTTACATCAAGATTGAACAACACAGAGAGTAGCCAAAGCCGATGCAGAACTCTCCTTCTCATCCTTACTGACAGGAGAAATGGATGATTATCATCCCCTCTTCTATACCATCTGCTCTGTCAAGGTGAGCAAAGGCCAATGCTCACTAAAATTAAATCTCCAATGAGCTGCTCAATGACACTCCGTGTACTTCACCTGTCTTACTTCAGAAGAGTCTTCCATTCAGATACAGACTGGTTCATCACAATATTCGTCCCATTTTGATTGCTCTGTCTGATCGAAGAGTTGCTGGAAGTTAGCCCTGCCATTCCTCCTAGCTCTCTCTCTCTCTCTCTCTCTCTCTCTCTCTCTCTCTCTCTCTCTCTCGTGCGCGGCCGTTTGTCTGTATTTTACGCGTGGCCCTAGCTCCCACAAAGTTGAGTGATGCTCCTTTGAAGTTCCTTCTGCAATCTTGTATGTTATCCTTTTTTTTTTTTTTCCGTATTTTTTAAACACGGGCCCAGTGCCCAAGGCTGATATTACCAATAAGAAGCCCCTCTTCTATATCCCCTACGTCCCTCACACTTTTCCCTCTTGTATCTCCTCCCAACATCCCACCCATTCCCCCCTTCTTTCTTCCCCCGTAGAGGAAAGATAGGCGAGAGCGAGGTGCCAGAAAGACATGTCGAGATAAAGAGTGAATGACAGACAATACATGGGGGTTGAATAGAAGAGGAAAGGAGAGGAGAGAAGGACATGAAGCTACCAAGGAGGAGGAGGGAAGGACTCTTAGGGAAAGAAGAGAAGAGAAAAGTTGTTACCCACGAAGATGTTGAAGACGAGTACGTTGTGGTGATGATAATGGTGAGGCTGATGATCCTTCGAAGATGACAACCCTCTGCGATAGAAACGATTGAAACCTACTCACGCAGCTTGATGAAGATGATAGTGATGATGGCAATGTCGAATTATGTGATACGCTTGCTGTTGATGCTCCCTGTGTCATTGCTGCTTGGACAAAACGAAAAAAGACAACGATCAGCTGGCAAACAAACCCCGAGTCAAAGCCACCTGTCTTGTGACGACCCCTTGATTGTTCTTGGACAGCTTCCTCGAAGACTTCCCACTCATTGCCTCCCGACAATCCTCCTCCCACCCCATGGGACACACACTCTATTCTTCTACTTCTCGCGGCAAGCCGACCTCCTCCACCCAAATTCGCAAGATGAAGAGTAGAAATGATTACTCCTTAAGAATTACTTCCCTTCATGCGGCATGCTAGCCTGCAGCATCGCTCGCATGAAGCACAAAACAGAGAGATGACACTTAAACAATCTTTCAAAAGCCGGGGGACAGCAAGTGATGAGGTTGTAGCCCGTTGTTGCCATCTTCATTTCGAAACATCCTCTATGTAGAAATTGTTAATGCCAGCACGATAGTCCGCACAGAAGGCCAGCGCCTTGCCACATGTCTGAAACCAGCGTCTTGCCGCACACCAGCAGCAAACGCTCGCCACTCTCAAGCCACCAGTGCCTCACCCCCCGAGAACTGCCAGCGCCTCGCCACCCGCAGATGACCAGCGCCCCACTGCCTTCGAGCAGCCAGCACTTCGCGACCGTCGAGCCGCCAACACTTCGCCCCATGCAGGCGGCCAACACCCCGTCTCCCACATGCCCCAGTGCCCCGCCTCCCGCTTGCTCGCCATCGCGCCTATCATACTGAGTAAACCACCAATCACCTTCTAGCTCTTTGAATCATGGAGGGGAGCTAAATCGCTCACCATGACCTGTTGGGGACTGGTCCGTAGTACTCGTATTTGGAGCACCATATAACGTTTATAAACCCTAAACCCTACACCTACCAATCCCAGCTGTAGAGCCGAACGGCCGAACCCGAACGCCCGAACGTACGGGACCCCTTGGGGATGCGTTCGGGCCGAACGCGGACAAAAAAAATAAAAATAAAAAAAAATCAAACAAATCTGAAAAAAAGATATGTTATGGACAAAAATAAAATAAACAACATTTGCCTGAGCATTACATCCAAATTCCTTACCACATTTGAAATAAAAATAAAATACAGAAAATAAAAATAATAATAAAAATAAGAAAAAATCATAAAAATGAAAAGAGAATTAAAATTAGTGAGTGAGTGAGCACATTTTCGACACCGCCATCTTTGGCGATTTTTCATTTTCTTTTTGGCACAGCCAAATGCCCTAAAAAATTCCAGAAATGTGTACTTCACATAATACAAAACTCATTAAGAAAGTTTCAAAGAATAATATATTTTTTTTAGGCCCCACAATAAAGTAAAAACAAAAAGTAAAAAGT